TCTATGTACTTAAGAGGGACTATATCATTTTAGGTCTCACATTCTCAGATTTTGGAGCACAGGGCTCGCATTGGTTGGCTACCGCAGTCTGAGTTTGCGGCTGGACGCTGCAAGCTCTCGGGACTTCGTGGAGAAACCCTAAACCTTATCACTTATCACCATATGGGCAAATCCCCAAATTAGGGTCCAATTTTGGNNGTGCGGTAGTATAATCTATAACCAAAGAGGCCATATTGTTGAGAACAGTCCATATGTGCACCCTATGCCTTGCAGAGCTTTGAGGGTATCACCTCTCCCCGGCTTTCCAGGTCCAAACCCCGTGTGCGCAAGCTTGTAATGGTGCGGATCGTGTAACTACGATAGGTTTCCGGGGTCTTTATGAGAGTCCCCTAGCTTGAGAAATGGTCTATATATGGGTTCTATGGAGTTTGTGATTTCTAGGGGTCCCTGTTTTAGGAATAAGGATTGTAATGACTATATTGGATCTAAATTGAGGCCCCCTTTCTATGGACTCCCTTGCCCCATATGAACTTCCTGGCAACCAGCGTTTAGGGTTCGGGCTCCCCAACATTGCAGATTGATGGGGCACAGGAAATTTGATCAGCTATAGCACATTGTATTTTTAGTATCAGAAGTAGTGCAACTGCGTGCGCGGATAATTCAATGTTGTGGCGTTTGCGCATTCCCTCTATACACGCTCCATCTACATTATGTTTGCATTTCCTGAAGAACAGTAATGTCCTACCCTGGATACCCCTCACCCCTTAATAATAACAGCAGCAGGTACTCCTCCTTATACGTACTGGTAGTATGTTGGGCCAGCATTGCGGGAAGGGATTAGTCTATCCTGTAGCCGGATCCCTGTTTTTTCAGCCTTGGCTGAACACAGGTGTTTGGACCCTGGATGCCGGGAGCTAACACAGGAATCCTTGTGCTGATCTGGGTGTGACTGTTCTTTTGAGGGGAAATCTTCGAGAAATTTACTGTTTTGGGGGAGGGGGTTCACACGACGTTTCTCCCGCGTGTTGTTCCGGACATACCAGTAACAGGTTCCTGAAATGTACAACAAACTTGTAAAAGGGTTAGAATGTGTCAGGCGTTGGGTTCAATCGAAACTTCAGGAACACTGCCTCGCGCCAGCAGGCAAAAACCAAGAGCCTGAAACCCTCAACTCTAGGCTCTAGATCCTTTTCTGCAAGGTGGAAATGAAAAGCCACTCTTAAACAGAAAGGGCCTAAGAAACCCTTAATCGTTGAAACTCAAGTGGGTGTTGTGCATTTTATTCGAGCTGTGTTGAGTGTCAGCGTAAATATGGAGAATTTCGGGAGCCTTGAGTAGTTACATAAGGAGCCTACCCCGCATATGCTATGCTGAGGCTCGCGCGCCTTGTTGCGGCAGCTGCAACCTCAGACTTGACATGAAGCCTGAGATCAGGCAAAGGTGAAATCATGAGTAGTATTTGAAATTGGGATTCTACAGGCTTTTATACAGGTTAGATTCTAGGGTGTTTAGGGTTGCCACAGGGTGGCTATGGTTCTGAGAGAGACACGTACGTGTTAAAGGGCCGGTCCTGTGGGCGGGCTGGATATGTTTGGTCCGTTAGGTTAGAGCCCTCCAAAGTAGGCTTGGCATGCCTGCGTTCTGTGTGTGATGAGGGACTGTATTAGGTAAGACCGTGTTCCTCTGGCTTTTTCTCAGGCATGCAGTCCTCAGCAATCGCTTAGACTTTCATACCAGCTCAACCAGCTCCTGAAGCCCAACTATAATAAGGAGACTTTTGCAATAATTCGGCATTGCCGAACAAGTCGTCGATGCAGCCCTAAACCCTATGTAGCGTATTTGTATCCAGCACTTTTTGGTCTTTCTGTGGACTGTTTCGGTTTCAGGATTGTGCATGGCGTCTGGGATACTCCTGTGAAAGCTCTTTCTGTAAACCTTTTACCTACTTTCTTTTTCAGGTGTTTACTCGCAACCGGTTTTCAGCAGATTTAGAGCAAANNAAAAACCAGGTTTTCCAATTTTGAATCCGCAAAAAACCTGTACAAAACCCGTACATACCCTGTACAAATACCGTACAAGATCGTATGGTTGTGACAACCTGGTTATGTTTAGATTACCGGGTTATTTTCAGCAACCTTAAAACAGGCGGTATTTGGTGTAGCAGGTTTTCATTATGGTGGACCATAATCCCTGCATAATCTAACGCAACCCATAAAAAATATTCTTATCCCAGACATAACTTTAGGGTATCATGTGTCTGCAATACATAAACCCGAGCATATTTTCACATGGCAGGTCTTTACGCTTGTTTTAGTTTTATGCAGCCTCACGTGAGCCGTGGGCAGAATACCTCTTCACAACCTACAGAAGCGCAAAGCACATGAGTTCTGTGGTGCAAGATCTGCGGAGAGCGGATCGTCATCTCAATCGC